TTTTGTAATCGATTAATCTATCGATTATTTTTACGATTAATCGAGTAATCGCTTGGCTGTGAATTGTGTAGAAAAAAAATATTTTTTCATCACAAAAAGCTAAAGTGGCAACACTCGAGGACGTATAGATGGCGTAAACTTAAAGTAAATGTGTGTAACAGGCTCTTTGTGCTAATTCTGCTATCTGATTGGATGAGACAGACAGATATTCATGAAATTATAAAAAAGTCGGTTTTAATCAAAAATACTACATTTTCATTTCATTTTTGCTCTGAGTCCGTGTGAACCAGAAAACGATTAATCGATTACTAAAATAGTTGTCGACAATTTCAATAATCAATTAGTCGTCGATTAATCGATTAGTTGTTTCAGCCCTACATTCTCTAGTTTTCAGACACAGGGGTCTTCAGACCAGAGGTCCTGGTGTGCGCCGGAAGTGTCGGAAGTAGCCGGCGGGCTCTGATAATAACAGTTTAGCTAGCGGCTTCTTGTGTACAGATCTTCTCCAATAATGCAACTTTGCAGCGTGTCTGTGTTCAGAGACCTTCCACGGACTTTATATAACAGTAGTATGTGTTCACAGAGGTGCGCAATACGTTTATTTTATTATTAAACGGTTCTTCCGCATTGGCAAATACACTCGAAGCAGTTGCATAAAGTTACGGGAGCATGAAAATTTCACATGTTAACATGCACTATGTCCCCCATTGTCAACCCCGGTTTAGTCCTGTTGTAGCTCCTGTTTTGGCTGTTTATGAGTATTTTCAGTCTGCTCGCTCATTCCGCTTATGTCCCCGTGACCACTATGCGGCTCTCTGATTGGTTGCTGCACGAACGTCCCGAGGAAAGGTTGAGCAAAATCCATCTCCTGCGTTCCTCCCCTTCGACTTCCCAGCGGGGTCCGTGTGTGCATTCCAAGACGTTTGTGCATTTTGACCATAGACTGTAAAAATGAATGGACGTAGTCACGCCTATCTCCGCAAAAAATAGTGCTCTACTGGAGCTATCCAAAATGGCTGCGAGTGGTCCCGCCCACAAGAAAATTGTGAAAAAACGCATCTGCGCATGCGTCAGCCGGCGCAAGCTCCATTCATTTGAATGAGAGACTTCAAAAATTCACAGCAAGTAAACTAGAGTGGTCCAAAAAAATTCACCCCCCTCAGCATTGACACACATGTGGAACGGAGCTTTGGGCCAAGAGCCAACTTTTGGACCATCATGTAAAGACGTTTTCGAGAGGTCTGCCAATGCTATACAGTGCCTTGCGAAAGTATTCGGCCCCCTTGAACCTTTCAACATTTCGCCACATTTCAGGCTTCAAACATAACGATATAAAATTTGAATTTTTTGTCATGAATCAACAAGTGGTACACAATTGTGAAGTGGAACGAATACTTTTTTTAACTAATAAAAAACTGAAAAGTGGGGCGTGCAATATTATTCGGCCCTTTACTTTCAATGCAGCAAACTCACTCCAGAAGTTCAGTGAGGATCTTTGAATGATCCAATGTTGTCCTAAATGACTGATGATGATAAATAGGATGCACCTGTGTGTAATCAAGTCTCCGTATAAATGCACCTGCTCTTTGATAGTCTCAGGGTTCTGTTTAAAGCGCAGAGAGAACCATGAAGACAAAGGAACACACCAGGCAGGTCCGAGATACTGTTGTGGAGAAGTTTAAAGCCGGATTTGGATACAAAAAGATTTTCCAAGCTTTAAACATCTCAAGGAGCACTGTGCAAGCAATTATATTGAAATGGAAGGAGTATCAGACCACTGCAAATCTACCAAGACCTGGCCGTCCCTCCAAACTTTCATCTCAAACAAGGAGAAGACTGATCAGAGATGCAGCCAAGAGGCCCATGATCACTCTGGATGAACTGCAGATAACTACAGCTGAGGTGGGAGAGTCTGTCCATAGGACAACAATCAGTCATGCACTGCACAAATCTTGCCTTTATGGAAGAGTGGCAAGAAGAAAGCCATTTCTCAAAGATATCCATAAAAAGTCTCGTTTAAAGTTTGCCACAAGCCACCTGGGAGACGCACCAAACATGTGGAAGAAAGTGCTCTGGTCAGATGAAACCAAAATCGAACTTTTTGGCCACAATGCAAAACGATATGTTTGGCGTAAAAGCAACACAGCTCATCACCCTGAACACACCATCCCCACTGTCAAACATGGTGGTGGCAGCATCATGGTTTGGGCCTGCTTTTCTTCAGCAGGGACAGGGAAGATGGCTAAAATTGATGGGAAGATGGATGGAGCCAAATACAGGATCATTCTGGAAGAAAACCTGTTGGAGTCTGCAAAAGACCTGAGACCGGGACGGAGATTTATCTTCCAACAGGACAATGATCCAAAACATACAATACAATACAATACAATACAATTTATTCTTGTATAGCCACATACAGCCAAATCTATAATGGAATGGTTCACAAATAGACGTATCCAGGTGTTAGAATGGCCAAGTCAAAGTCCAGACCTGAATCCAATCGAGAATCTGTGGAAAGAGCTGAAGACTGCTGTTCACAAATGCTCTCCATCCAACCTCACTGAGCTCCAGCTGTTTTGCAAGGAAGAATGGGAAAGAATTCCAGTCTCTCGATGTGCAAAACTGATAGAGACATACCCCAAGCGACTTGCAGCTGTAATTGCAGCAAAAGGTGGCGCTACAAAGTATTAGCGCAAGGGGGCCGAATAATATTGCATGCCCCACTTTTCAGTTTATTTGTTAAAAAAGTTTAAATTATCCAATAAATTTCGTTCCACTTCAAGATTATGTCCCACTTGTTGTTGATTCTTGACAAAAAATTAATTTTTATATCTTTATGTTTGAAGCCTGAAATGTGGCAAAATGTTGAAAGGTTCAAGGGGGCCGATTACTTTCGCAAGGCACTGTATGTTAGCATTGGCTAATTCTTATTCTGAGTCCACCCCCATCGGCCCGAGGTGGTATTGCAAGCATGTCTGCGCACATCATTTTGGCCACTTTTGAGCCGGGACCCGCCCCCACTGGTTTTGACACTCGAACGCGCGTCATCGTTGACTTTACATTGAAAGCCGACGCAACACATGATCCGGTCTGAACGGGGCATAAGAGTCCACTCTCTCAATGTCTATTCCCTGGATGTTCACTGGGGCTGGCGCCATAGAGTAACGTCTGCGGAAATCCACCACCATCTCTTTGATCTTCCCTGCGTCGTCCTCGGAGCTAAGTCCGATGATGGCAGAGTTGTCTGAGAACTTCTGTAGGGCACAACCGTCCGTGTTGTGTCTGAAGTCCGCAGTGTAGAGGGTGAAGAGGAACAGCGCGAGGACTGTCCCCTAGGGGGCCCTGTCTCCTCAGAGAGGAGCCGGGTTTCTCTAGGCGGGACAGTGAGTGATGGAGGAGGGAGATGATAGCGTCCTCAATTCAGATGCCCGGCCGGTAGGCAAAGTGCAGCGGGTCCATTGCTGAGGTCAGAGTGGAGCAGAGATGTCCCATGACCAGTCTCTCCAGTGTCTTCATGCAGTGGGATGTCAAAGCCACCGGCCTGAAGTCACTGAGGTCTTTGGCCCGTGGTGTCTTGGGAACTGGTACCACACAGAAGATCTTCCAGAGCTGTGGTGCAGACCTTAGCCTGAAGCTCAGGTTGAAGACGTGCTCCATCACTCCAGAGTTCATCTGCGCACGAACAAAGGAGCCTGGAGCTGATGTTGTCTGGTCTGCGGGCCTTCCCTGGCTTGTTTGTAAGCGGTTCCATTCTGACCTGTGCGGCAGCGAATGACAGAGGTGGGGGTGGGGTTGGAGGCTGGGGCTGCGGGCTGGTGGTGGGGGAGAGCTGAGGGGCGTGGGCCATAGTGTTAACGTTCGTGTCTGGGGGGTATTGTTCTCCAACAGGGGTGGGCAGCAGCAGGGGGTGGGGTGGGTTGTTGATTGAACTGCAGGTAAAAAGTGTTGTCCGTCCCCAACCTGCTGAAAAGGCTTTGGTTTGAATCTTGAGATGGCCTTCAGATTGTCCCAAACACCTTTGATGTTCTGTCTGCTTAGCTGCTCTTCCATTTTGCCCCTGTATTGAGCTTTGGCCTCCCTCACTGATGTTCTCAGATGTCTCTGTACGTCTCTCACCTCCTCTTTGTTCCCAGTTCAAAAAGCGCATTTCTTTGCCTTCAGCAGAGCCTTTATGTTGGAATTAATCCACGGCTTGTTGTTGGCAAAACACCGCAGCTTCCGGGTCACCGAAGTGTTCTCGAAACAGAAGTTTATGTATCCCGTGATGCACTCAGTCATGCCATTAATGTCCTGCCAATGGGGGTCGCAGAGCTTGTCCCAGAGGGTCCTTTCAAAGCAATCTCGGCGGGCCTCGACAGTGTTTGTATTCCATGTTCGTATCAAGCGCCTCACCACGGGTTGCCTGTGTGGTCTGCTCTGATGGTGTGGAATCCATCCAGAGTGACTGCAGAGTCTGAAATGTCTGTGTGGAGCCATGTTTCTGTAAATACTTGGAGGCTGGCGGCGCGGCACACCCGCTGGTAGCACGTCAGTGCCGCTAGCTCGCCAGTCTTATTGGAGAGGGACCTCACACTCCCGGTGATTACGGCAGGCACCACAGGTCTGGGTCTCTTTTGCCCTTGTACCTTCCATCCCGCGCAGCAGCCTCTGGTTGTTTTCTGTAGAATCTCCGTAGGAGTAGTGTGTTTGTCCTCGGGAGGGACCTCCACTCTCCGCAGCACCAGCATCTTGTCCCGGTTGTAAACAATGGGAGCGCGTGGGCACATCGCCGTTCACAGGTATAATCCATGTTTATGATGAGGAAAACTGTGGAAAAACACAATGTCTCACTTCCTAAATGGGCACTAGCTTCACGCGGCTGTATTAAAACAACAGTTACCGAAAAATAAATATAAGTAGCTTAAAAGTAAGAAAAGGGGGGGTGATTGCAACTCTGGAGAGAGACTTTTGTGCATGTGTTTGTAGACCATAATAGTTTCCTGTTGACTGTTTTGCCACAGGTCCTCATTGTGCAGATCAAGTGCTTCCATGAGATCATCACAATCGGCTACAACGTGTACCACTCGTACCACCTCCCATGGTTCAGGACGCTGAGCTGGTGAGGCCATGCTCGCCCCCACACCTGCACACCACCCACCATCTTTAACACTACAACACAGACTAGTCATTTTGACGTCTTTTAGTTTTTGCAGTGTAATTACTCATGGACATTATTGGCCTTCTGAACTTGGTGACTTCTTTATCTATATGCATTTATTTTTCTATGTAATTATTTTCATGAAATTATCTTTTTAAAGGTGCCATATTTCACTTTTCTTAATTTTCCATAGTCCATCCTATGCACATGTGTGATTTGGGTGAGACACCATACAATACTCAAAACTTGTCAAATTATAGCCATTTCGTGCATAGAGGTCATGTCACCTCATGTGAAACAAGCTGTCCTCTGCCGATGAACCCGCCGCCCCCTGCCTGCACGGTGAAAGAGGGAGACATACCATCACGCTAACTTGTAGGTAGACAAGAGCTAACTGTTCAGCTTTTGCTGTTACATACTAATTTCACACTTGAGAATATACTTCCAACAATGGCAACCCGTCACATGTCCTCGATCCAGAATCAGACCCTAATCATTGTACTCACAGACTGAGGCTCCAGTTATCGTCTTTTATGTTGATAATAACACTAGGACTTTCCAGATCAGAGTAGGTCCCGTTTCAAGATAAACCGTAGTTCTGGAACAGACTTTGTTGGTGTCACCATCACTCGCAAATTATCATCTGAGTTTCGTTGGATTGGATTGGTGCATGTCACGATTTTAAACAGTTTGTTTCTGTGCCTCTCGAGAATGAAAGCGAAAGATTGCCCTCTATCTAAAGCTTGAGGGAATCAATGAAAAAACTACTCTGGGCATGTATATGAAGGCCAAAAAGTAATGTGATCATGTTTAAAACAGAGAAAAGTCAAAAAGTGTAATATGGGACCTTTTAAATGGGAGTAATACTACCTTTTAACTCAATTCATTTTAATGTAAAATTCAAATTTTCGGTCTTTCGGCAACCAACATTCCATGGGAGATAAAGCTCCTTTTCCCCATGGTGCTCGTCATTCCTGTTTCTGGGTCTAGTTCAGAGTTTTACACCAGAGAATCGATTGCCAGTTACCATAGCCACACACTGTTTTCTTGAAGAAGTTAGCATTACAACAAACTGTTGTCGCTGTATTTCAGTCATATTCATTAATTTGTTAATTCATTAAGGTGCAACGGTTCATCACTGATCCGTGATCCGTTCGGTTCAACGTCTTCGGTTCGGTACAGACGTAATCCGCGGTTTGATTTATGAAAAAAAAGTTGTGCGCACGTTGTTCAGTCCACACACAGCGCGGTCATTGCGAGCGGAGGAACGGAGATGCTTGAAAGCCCTGCGTCATTTAAATCCCCAGTATGAGAGCATTTTGGCTTCACTGTAACTACACTGATAATTAATATTCGACAAAACTGTCACGATGTGTAAGCACTGTGGCACAAGAAAGACATGAGTGAAAAAAGCGTCTCAACGACCGCTTATTGTCGCGGCATTTAAGCTGCTCCTTTACGCACAGTCAGACCGGGCTCCCGCGCATCCTCAGCTGCGCTCACGACTGACGCTTGGACGTCCCGCGGAACCTATAATAGATCCATGAGCGGAACCGCTCACTTCATCACCGCAGACTGGGAGATGAAAAGTCTGGCGCTGCAGACACGCCCCCTCTACGACAGTCACACAGTCACACAGCGCAGGTACCGGTACTGACACAAGCAGCGGAGGAATGGAAGACAAAGGCCCTGTACTAATATCCCAGTCACAACTGATAATGCCAAAAATTAAATAAATGCAGTGAATGAGGCTGGGCCCAGAATGGACCGCCTCCTCGGGAGAATCAGGAAGGTGGTTTAATATATGAGGGTAAATATCCTCATAAAGTGCCTTCTTATGTTGCACTTTGTGTTGTTTTTCATTAATTATGTTAAATAGACATAATTGGATGGATGGAATATGCCATCCATCCATCCATCCATTTCCTTCCCCTTAATTCATTTCTAGGTCAGGGGGGGCAGTCAGAGCAGGTGCCGAGTCCACATGAGCTGTGTTTATTAAAAAGACAAAACTTTTTTTTTGAAAAATGAACCGAAAAATGAACCGAACCGTGGCCTCTGAACCGAGGTACGAACCGAACCGTGATTTTTTCAAACCGTTGCACCCCTAGATCTTACTGTTACCTGTATGTTCAAATATCCATGTCAACTCACAATCTCTTACTGTTCTATTTTGTTGCAGACTTCCAGAGGTTTGTTCACTGATGTAACTAGATGTAGATGTTAGCTTTGACCCAATCTACAATTGTTTTGGTAGAAGTGATTTCCTGTAGCTAGTATGCCTGAAGTCTCCTCCAACTCACTGCAGACCACAGCTTCAGTCACTCCCCTGATCCTTCTCTGTCCTTGCTTTTTCTCAGTTTATCAGTGAAATGTAAAACCATATACTATACGGACAATGCTAACTCGCTTGCCAATGAAGCCCAATTGGGAAGTGCTCAAGTTTGGCTCCAACTCGCTCAGGCTCCTATTGACTTACATGTAAAAGTAAACTCCTCTTGCTCAGTAACCGTTTGTGTCGGTTAAATCCATTGTTAAGTGCAGCACGGGGGCTGAGTGGATAGCACTCTAGCTTCGCGGCAAGTAGGTCCTGGGTTCATATCCTGGTCGGAACAGGGCCTTTCTGAGTAGTTTGCATGTTCTCCTCCACTAAAAACATGTACAATATGTCTGGCATACGCCTTTTGTACTGGCGACCTTGCTCCCATCTTTGTGGAGTGACTTGGGCACGGTCACATAGGTTATTACAAACGAACAAGGCCAAGTGGCCCGGATCGTTGCCACAGGGGTGTGAAAACGGCCCGCGGTCACATGAACGTGTTTTTGCAAACGTGCCAGAGTAACTGTGCTGTAGTACAACGCTCGGTCCAGCTGGTGGCGCTAATACCAACTTCAGCGACAACCTCAGTGGCAAAAGATGGCGCCTCGTACGGTCGACATGGCTCTTTGCTGCTCTCTTTTTCTTTTGTTTTTACTTTTTAACTGTGCATCTGGCTGTTCCTACACCCGTGAGGAACTTATGAACATCCGACCCACCGTTCCCATGGACCTATTGCCTGTTTTCTTGGCATCTGCGGCTGATTTAGTTCATGTTCTAGCCAAAAAAGTGTGGGCCCGTAAAAGGGAAAAGCGCGGAGGCCTGCTCGTGCGTCTTAGGAGAAGAGGAGCGCGCACGGCTCTCCCCGGCATTTTTCTCTCCAACGTACGCTCACTGGGCAATAAGATGGACAAACTCGGCCTGCTCATGAGAAGAAACAAGGACTTAGTCACATCCTGTGTCCTCTGCCTCACTGAGACCTGGCTAAATGAGCAGATCTGCGGACTGCGCTCTGGAGCTGCAGGGTTTTGGGCTGTTCCGCGCGGATCGCCATTGTGCGCTCTCAGGGAAGAGCAGAGGCGGTGGGCTGTGTTTCTACGTCAATACAAACTGGTGTAACGATGTGACAGTGATCTCCAAGCACTGCTCTCCTGCTCTGGAATATCTTTTCATCCATTGTAAACCATTTTACTCCCCGCGTGAAATTATTTCATTCATTTTTGCCTCTGTTTACATACCGCCATGCGCGGACGCGCGCGAGGCTCAGCGCGCACTCGCAGAGCAAGTACTGTGTATGGAACGTTTATACCCGGACTCTCTGATTATTATCCTGGGGGATTTTAATAAGGGAAACTTGAGCCAGGAATTACCCAAATACAGACAGTTTATCAAATGCCCGACCAGAGAGGAGAACACTCTGGATCACTGTTACACCACCGTGCGCGGAGCTTTTCGCGCTGTTCCCAAGCCAGCCCTCGGCTTCTCAGATCACTCCATGATACATCTGCTTCCTGCTTACAGACAGAGACTAAAGCTCTCGAAACCTGCAGTGAGGAGCTCCAAAGTGTGGTCTGACGAAGCTGTGGAAGAGCTGCGCGCATGCATGGAATCTACAGACTGGGACCTTTTCAGAGCTGCCACAGATAGTTTGGATGAATATACGGACACTGTGACGTCATACATCCACTTCTGCGAGGATAGCATCATTCCAACAAGGACCAGGGTCATCTATAACAACGACAAACCCTGGTTCACTGCTAAACTCCGGCAGCTCAGGAAAGCAAAGGAGTCTGCTTTCAGGGAGGGGGACCGCAGCGGCTACAAAGCGTGTAAATATCAGTTCAGGAAAGAACTGAAAGCAGCCAAGTCCCGGCACAGAGAACAACTACAGGAGCAGTTTGGTAACAACGATACTGCTTCTGTCTGGAGGGGCCTACGGGAGATCACCAACTACAAACCCAAAGCCCCCCCTGTGCTGACGACCACAAGCTAGCTGACGAACTGAACTTATTTTTCAGTCGCTTTGATGCTGCCCCTGACACCTCTCCCTCCCCCACCCCCCACTACTCTAACGACCCACCCATCAGCCCTGCCCCCAGCCTAACAATAGCCGCTAAAGAGATTAAACAACTCTTCTTGAGGCTGCACCCCCGCAAAGCTCCTGGCCCGGACCACGTGTCTCCGGCCACTCTGAGACACTGCGCCAGTGATCACAGGACTCAATGACTACAGACCTGTAGCACTTACGTCTGTCGTCATGAAGTCATTTGAACGCCTGGTTCTCTCCCATCTCAAGTCCCTCACCTCCCCCCTCCTGGACCCCCTGCAGTTCGCCTACAGAGCCAACAGATCTGTAGACGACGCCATTAACCTGGCCCTCCACCACATCCTACAGCACCTGGACTCCCCGGGGTCCTACGCCAGGGTCCTGTTCGTGGACTTCAGCTCTGCCTTCAACACAATCCTGCCATCCCTGCTCCAGGACAAGCTCTCCCAGCTCAACGTGCCCGATTCCACCTGCAGGTGGATCACTGACTTCCTGACGGACAGGAAGCAGCGAGTGCGTCTGGGGAAGAATGTCTCGGACTCTCGGATTATAAATACAGGAGCCCCACAGGGCTGTGTTCTTTCTCCCCTGCTCTTC